CAAATCCCCAAATCCCCAAATCCCCAAATCCCCAAATCCCAAAATCCCAAAATTCCATAATCCCCAAATTGCCGAATCCAGAAATCGCCTAACCTCCAAATCCCGGAGTCCTTGAGTCCCCAAACATTCAAGTACTCAAGTTCCCAAATTTCCAAATTCTCCAACAGGCTTTTCTCGCAAGCAATAACTAAATAATCAAATAAACTCAAATTACAATAAAAAACCCAGCAATCTTCTAACCCTAATCAATGTTAGTTACTAACCCTACGCAATCCTATATTTAAGCCTCCTCTCATGTAACCAAGCTCCCCAAGTCTGTTACCACGATTCCACCGCCCACAGAATTTTCAGCAAATCCCCACACGGACATCAAACCGACAAACCGAATTTGAACGTCCGTACGAAGTCATGGTCACGGATTATGTCGGTCCCGAAATGGCTTCGGTAATTGCAGTGCTTCCAATGTACGTTATATAAATCACATCGCAATCTCCTTGAAAACTCAATCGTTCCCCGTCATTGGCCCCGCATCCATCGCGTCCGGCACGGCATCGTACGTTCCCCTACGCACGAAGGAAGTTCCGCTTCCTTCCTGCAAACCGTAGTCATCAAAATGGCCGAAGACGTTGGCGTGATGCTGCAGAAAGGCTTGGCCGAATGGTGGAACGAGGAGACGGAGTACATCTTCCAAAGAATAGAAAGATGGGCCGCGTACGCCAGAGGTTACAATCGTCTGAGGTCCCAGAGGTTATCCAGGGGACGTATGACGATGCAAGGTGGACAGGAACCACGTTGGAGCATCTCTTCGAACAAACTAATCATCGATGATTCCTCGTGGAGTCCTCGTTTCCACACCTTGAAGAAGTCCCGACGAAAGTCGCGGCCCGAAGAGACCAAGATCAACTGCTGCGGCACCTTCAACTACCAGTCCAACAGCAATCTGGACAGCAGCTGTCTGGAGACCTACAGATACGACCACAGCATTTACTTCAAGACCATCGGCGATATTAAAAATAGTAAGAAGGAAGCTGCCGACACGAAGAACGAGGATAGGATCTCTATCAGCAGCGAGGAGCTGGTAGAATGGGATGTGAACACCGTGTCCGATTTCATCACCAATCAACTTCTGGAGGACAGGTTCAAGGACGTTCTGGATGCCATGGATAATTCGGGACAGGAGTCTAACGAGGTTGGTTCCGTCACTTGGTTCAACATTGATTTGTCCAAGCTTGATTTGAACGAGGACACCGCCGTTGATGAGCAGAATAACCAGAATTTGACGGTGTTCGAGAACGAAGAGGAAAGAAATAATAATTATGTGAGGAAGGAGTCCGTTATGGACGAGAACTTGAAGAATCAAACGATATTCGTTGTGGGAGATGAAAATAATGAGATCGAGAAGTTCTTTGATTTTCGAAGAACTGTCGGACAACCGGACACTGACGAGGGACGAGTGTTTGATTGAATTGTTAGGTTGTACCGTGCCATGTTTTGTTTTTTCGGGGTGTATTTATTAAAAAGGATTTAATGTGCATAAAGTTATGTTGGGTTGTTGATATTTAATGACATAAAAGGATAGAATGACACTTGTGAAATGTCAGGTTAAATGATCTAAACGTTTTAATGATCTTCATACAAAATGCTAGTCATAGTAAGGATAATTTTAAAGATAACTTCGAGATACAAAATGGCGGTATGCTAGTCATAGTAAAGATAATTTTAAAGATAACTTCGAGATGTAGTTTATTATAATTTTATGAGATAAAAATATTGCTAAATGACATTTGTAGCATATTAATTTAAAGTTTAGGGTTTAAAAATTGCTGTATAAGATTTTTGACGATATTCTTAACACAAAATGGACGATATATATAAGAATTAATGATCAATTTCGAGGTTAATTTCGTATTTAGTGTACTACAATTTTATGACATGAAAAATGATTGGATAGATATTTTGTCAGTATTCTGAATACAAAATGGATGCTTCTATCATTTATTGCTTATAGGTAATATTGTTCATTAGCATTGTATCATTACAGTCTTTCATTATACAAATTTTTATATATTATGTAAAGTGTTTCAAAGAAAAATCATACAATTCAAAATGGCAGATTTTTGGCGGGGAAAAAAATAAAATTGCTAAAAATTTTCATAAAATATTCACTAATGAACAATATTAATGATAACTTATCAATTATTTGATCGAATAAACAACCAGCTACTTTCTATAAAAAAATTTAATGATATATTTGCATAGTCAGTTTCTTTGAAACCTAAAATTTAAATTGACGTGACATAAGTGATATTTAGTGCTACTTTTAACTCATGAAATCACATCAGATGTTTCATCTTTCGAAATTTGTCACTTGATATCCAACAACCTGATATATCAATCGCAAAATTTTAAACAAACTATAAGAATGTATCATAGTTTAAAACCTTTCGTTATAGAGTTTAAAAAGTATTAGAATAATGTTTGGAACGTTACCTACACGAAAAACTATATTTATAAAATTGCATAAAAAGGAACAGTTACACACTTTTAAATAAATAATTAATCAATCAATGTTAAATTATCGAACAAACATAATTACTATTTTACATTGTTATAAAATAATGCAGGATTCATTTAGACTATTAGGACTTTTAGAATATTTGAAATTTTAAGAAAATAACAAGTTTCAAAATGACTAATAATTCACAGAGAGAATTCTTTTTAAGAGAAATTTAGGAAAGGAGACGAGTGAATTGAAATTTTAGGAGTTTAAAGTTTTTTCTGTACTAAATATTAATATTGTTTATGTGACACTTATAATATGCAAACAATTCTGAAAGGATGGCACGCAAAAAACAATTGAAATGTATTGTTTTTTAAAGAAAACATAGAATACAGATGTTACATATTTCCAGCAATTTTGTTTATTAATTTTATTCCTTAGTAATTATATTCCTTATGAACAATTATGAGTATGCAATTTTTTTATTTGAAAAATTGTGAATATGATATTTTTTTAGTTTCTTTTGAGTTAGGATAATTTGGAAATTTATAAATTTGTTATTATTGTATTTCAAAATTTCTTAATTTGAATTTTGGAAAATTGTTAACTTTCTATTTATATAATTCAGATTCTATTCAATTCTATTTATATAATTCATTTTGAGTTGCTAAGTTTCAAAATTTTTTAATTATAAAATTAATGAATTAACTAACTATTAAATATCTAAACTTTCTAATTTTCGAATTATAAAATTGCTATATTTCATATTAATAAATTACGAGACTAGGAAATTGTCAAATTACTAAATTACCAAATTACCAAATTAAAAAATTACAAAACTGTTAGGTTACCAAATTACCATATTTCCAAATTCCAAAATTCCAAAACTTCCAAATTTCCAAATTCCTAAATTCCTAAATTCCCAAATCCCCAAATCCTCAAATCCTCAAATTCCCAAATTCCCAAATTACAAAATTACAAAATTACCAAATCCCCAAATCCTCAAATGCTTAAATCTCAAAATTCCTAGATTCCCAAATTTCCAAATTCATAAGTCTACAAATCTCCAAACCCCTAAACCTCTAAACCCCCAAATTCCCAGACTCCCAGATTTCCAAAATTCCCAAATCCCCAAATCCCCAAATCCCCAAATCCTCAAATTCCCAAATTCTCAAATTCCCAAATCCTCAAATCCCCAAATCCTCAAATCCCCAAATTCCCAAATTCCCAAATTACCAAATCCCCAAATACGGAAATCCAAAAATTCCTAGATTCCCAAATTTCCAAAACCATAAGTCCACAAATTCCCAAATCCCTAAATTCCTAAATCCCCAAATCCCCAAATTCCCAAATCCCAAATCCCAAATCCCAAATGCCAAAATTCCCAAATTTCCAAATTCGCAACTTCCCAAATTCCCAAATTCCCAAATTTTCAAGTTTGAAAAGTATCAGCCTATTAAACTACTAAATCACCTAATATCAAACTACTCAAATTACCAGACCAAAGAAAATAAAAATGTTCACATTCCTAAATTTCTTACTCCGTCCACCTTTACCTTACTACCTTACTCTAATCAATGGTACTACATAAATCCCATGCGTCGCCGACTTTGCGGAAACGCTATCAACTCATTTTCTTTTACAATCAACCATTCGCTAAAAATCTCAACGAAACCGTCACCTAATTATTTTCTACGAACTTTCAGCTTTGAATTAATACATCAAACATAATAATTTGCAACATTTTTATGTCATCAAGTCCCATCAGACTATTCAGAAAATTTGAAAATTGCATCTCTGATACTTAATAATCTAATCATTTTTATAATACAGTTATCTTGTAACAAGATCGAAAGTCAATCTTCAAAATGGACCCAGAAAATTACACTTTTTTCTAAATTAATAGAAGTCACCTAGGGGGACAAAGTGACCCGGGCAGCGCGCATGCACCGATTGGTGGGGCAAGCCACGCACGCAACACGTAAGCTTGTGCGATCCGGCTGCAAATCGATCGTCTTTTCACTTGTTTCCTGAGAGTAGTGCGTAGTACTTTTCGAAAAAGCTCATCGTCGACGAAGAAAAAGTCGAGAGAAAATAACAATGACGAAACGTTTGGAAACGGCAGCCACGATGGCTTGCATGAAAACTCTGCTGATGCTCTTCAACTGCGTCTTCTGGGTAAGCGAGTTGTTTCTAACGATAAAAGCTTGACCTTTCGGTTCCAGCAATTTTTACCTCCTAATAATCAGAATATCCTTTGAACCAACTGTTGCATAATATAATGCGATGACAATAACTTGCTGATAAACTCTATTATTTTTGTAATTGTTCTGTAACTGGAAGACGGTTTTGTTGAAATCGAAGTAAATAATTAGATAAAAAAATCTGTAATATAGGGTAAATTGAATAATAAAATTTATAATAAAAATATGTAGACAAATATGAATAAAAAAACATATTAAAAGAGTTTCATGAAGTAAATAAAAATTGAATAATGAAATATATCGTTGAAAATGATTGGTAATGATAAAAATTGAACAATAGAAATAGTGTTTAATAAAAATATGTAATGAAGTTGGAATATTGACATATGGTACTAAAAACGTATAATAAAAGTCCAAAATAAAAATTGAATAATGGAATAAATTATTGAAAATGTTTAACAAATAGATAAACTGATAGTTGCATATTGAAACATATTGTTAGAAATGTATAATGAAGATTTGTATTATGAAATAAAAGTTCATAATAAAAATTGATTAATGAAATAAATTATTAAAAATGTTTAATAAAAATATATGACAGCTGTATAATGAAATATATTACTAAAAATGTTTATTAAAAATATGTAATGAATTTTGAATAATGAAATATGTTATTAAAATGCTTAATAAATGTATGTAATTAAAATTGAATAATAAAATGCAAAGTTGTAAATGTATATTAACAGTACATAATAAAAATTGTATAAGTACTGAAACAATACCAAGCTTAATAGTAACACTTGAAATAATAGTATATTTTTCAGTAACTACAGTTCAACAGTTTTTTAAATTTAGAAATTGTTTAAATTGATCACAATTAAAAAAAAATTAATATTTAATAGAAGGTAAATATTTTATATATAACAATTCAAAAAACAGAAATTAAATATTTTTACTTGCTTAAACTTCTACTAATTCGTTTTTTAAATATTCAAATAAATATTGCAACAAGTTTCTGTAATTTTAAATAAATTCTTCTAAAAATTTTCTTTTAATACATTTCTATTATTATGTAAAATTAACAGAAAGAATGTTAATAATTATTAACACTTTGAGGTATATTTAAAAAATAATTTAATTATTTTAAAAATGTAGAATCTATCGAAAAAAAACACCTGAAGTTTACGAAAAGTAAGCTACAATTATAATAAAAGAATTAGTTAAAATTATTTTTTAATAACGTTGTCTTAATTCAATTTTCTACACAATTTCTTTTAGTAACTAAAGTATGCGACAGTCATAAAATATAATTGACAGGGTTCAATTACAATATAGTTTCGTGTTAACAGATTTAGATCCTTATGTATCCTGCACAGCGGCATTTAATTGGGCATATAATATTACTGACTACGAATATAGATGAAATACTAGAAGAGAGTAACGAGATCATGCTTATGTAACAAGACCGATTTTTTTATCAGTATCATTGAAACATGTTCCTGTTTCATAATATCTTCATTCATATTTACTTTTCTAAATAATGCAATTTCGATAAGATATTACAATAATAAATACCGAATTCAAAATTTCATTTCAATTATCTTCTGCGTTTTTTTATTGACTAATCAAACAAAGTTAACGTTATGAATGAATAAACATATTGTTAGAAATGTATAATGAAGATTTGTATTATGAAATAAAAGTTCATAATAAAAATTGATTAATGAAATAAATTATTAAAAATGTTTAATAAAAATATATGACAGCTGTATAATGAAATATATTACTAAAAATGTTTATTAAAAATATGTAATGAATTTTGAATAATGAAATATGTTATTAAAATGCTTAATAAATGTATGTAATTAAAATTGAATAATAAAATGCAAAGTTGTAAATGTATATTAACAGTACATAATAAAAATTGTATAAGTACTGAAACAATACCAAGCTTAATAGTAACACTTGAAATAATAGTATATTTTTCAGTAACTACAGTTCAACAGTTTTTTAAATTTAGAAATTGTTTAAATTGATCACAATTAAAAAAAAATTAATATTTAATAGAAGGTAAATATTTTATATATAACAATTCAAAAAACAGAAATTAAATATTTTTACTTGCTTAAACTTCTACTAATTCGTTTTTTAAATATTCAAATAAATATTGCAACAAGTTTCTGTAATTTTAAATAAATTCTTCTAAAAATTTTCTTTTAATACATTTCTATTATTATGTAAAATTAACAGAAAGAATGTTAATAATTATTAACACTTTGAGGTATATTTAAAAAATAATTTAATTATTTTAAAAATGTAGAATCTATCGAAAAAAAACACCTGAAGTTTACGAAAAGTAAGCTACAATTATAATAAAAGAATTAGTTAAAATTATTTTTTAATAACGTTGTCTTAATTCAATTTTCTACACAATTTCTTTTAGTAACTAAAGTATGCGACAGTCATAAAATATAATTGACAGGGTTCAATTACAATATAGTTTCGTGTTAACAGATTTAGATCCTTATGTATCCTGCACAGCGGCATTTAATTGGGCATATAATATTACTGACTACGAATATAGATGAAATACTAGAAGAGAGTAACGAGATCATGCTTATGTAACAAGACCGATTTTTTTATCAGTATCATTGAAACATGTTCCTGTTTCATAATATCTTCATTCATATTTACTTTTCTAAATAATGCAATTTCGATAAGATATTACAATAATAAATACCGAATTCAAAATTTCATTTCAATTATCTTCTGCGTTTTTTTATTGACTAATCAAACAAAGTTAACGTTATGAATGAATAAAACGTTTGAACTTATTAGTAGATAAAACTTAACATTACTAATAAATAAATAACATTATCGATAAGCAAACAATCAACATGATTAATATTGATACAGTTTTCATACTAAAATTTGAAGTAACAACGTTTTACGTATACATCTATACAAATTTCACTATTGTTACGATAAAACGTGTAGGTTCAATATACCACTGTGTATTTAAGTTACGCGTTATCAGTACATTTATTATCTACATCCTGCTCCTACGTGGTTCTTATCATAACAGGACCTTCTTTACAGCAGATCGCTTAAAACGAAACATCTGTTCCTGCTTTAAATATCCGATAAGAGTTATTTCACATTATATCTTAACACATTTTTACGCAGATTGTCTCCAAAAATTGCTCTACCAAAAAATTTGTAAGTTGTTCTAAAGCGAATATATTGTACAATTAAATTATGTCCAGGTATTTGGTATACTGATGTTATGTATCGGTATTTGGATGAGAATACAACTTCGAGACTACGTTGACGTAAGCGCAGAAAGTGGAAGGGCAGCTTTATTGGCGTTAGCAAGTTTGGGAGCAATTTTGACTTTGACAGCGACGCTTGCCTGCTGTTGTACAACACACGGTCATCCAGCGCTTCTGTACTTGGTAAGAATAACACTCGTGTATCTCGGGAGCAATGTAGGCTTCTCTAGGTTGAGGGAAAAGAAAGAGTTTTCATTTGCTTCCAAATTTGGGAGGAGTTTGGGAGAGTCAGGGAGAGTCAGGGAGATCTAAAGAGAAATAGAGAGATGTAGGGAAACCCAGATAGAACTCAGGAATTTCAAAAGAAATTCAGGGAGAGCCAGGGAGAGCCGGAGAGTGTTAGGGGAAACAGAAAAGGTCTCAAAGTGGTTTCGGAAAGAGGTGAGAGTGGCAAAAGACTAATAAAACCCGCAGAACCCGAGAAAACACAAGCAAAATCGAGGAAATCTAGGGAGAGCCAGGGAGAGCCAGAGAGTGCCACACAGAAACTGTGGAGGCTAATAAGCGCTCAGGATGATCCTAGAGAGAGCCGAAGGTGGCAAAAGATCAATACAATCAGCAAACCCCAAGGAAACACACCGGAAGCTAAGAAACCCCAGGGAGAGCCAGGGAGAGCCAGGCAGCGACAGAGTGAGTCAAGGAAAGCCGAAACCCATGGAGATGCTATGAAGAGCTGAGTATAGCAAAAGATCAGTAAAGTCAGTAGAACCCAGAAAAACCCAAGAAAGTTCAAGGAAACCCAATGAAACCAAAAAAGAGTCAGACTAAAACATCTGTCTGTGTGAAGGGAAGCTTCAATTGTACATACTTAAGTACAACATAGGTTTCCTTTAGCCATAAATATCGTTAGAGCTTCCACCATTCACTTACAAGTTTAGAAGAAATGAACATAATCCAAAAAAAATTTAACGCGAATTCTGCTAGTCTTAAAAAATAAAAATCAATAAAGATAGTGGTTACATTTTACCGTTAGTTTCCCTTAATGGAGAGAAGCCAAGTTGCACACAGCTGTATGCATATTTAATATTTTCACTTAACACGTTCGTGCCCACTGGGGTAAATACACACACTAGGGGAACGTCTTAAAAAGCTACCGAACTCCGAGCTATACCTGTTGCTCTTAACATCTTAAGAATCTTTTAGGCGAATGAAAAATGTGAGATAATTTTGCTTGCAGTACGGTGCATTCTTGGCTGTCGTCACGTTATTAGAGCTTGGAGCTGGAGCATCAATTTACGCTTATCGTACCAATTTGAACGAAAAGTTCGATCAGGACTTCAATGATACTATGGCCGTTTATTCACAGGATGAGAGGAAAACTGCTGACATTGACACCATACAGTCTACTGTAAGTATAATTCATTCACCACAAAATTGTAGAAAAATATTTTACGACAGGAGCGAATAATTAATTACTGTGGTCACACACAACCGTTAAATCAAGAAACAAAAGTAAAGTTTCTCTACACTCTTCAAGTTTGTGATGTACAGATTTACTATGAACATTTGAGGCAAACGTTTGCACTGTCCACGCATCAAACCATGATGTTACGTAATACCGGCTAGGTATTCAGATATGTACTCACACGTGATGCTAGGCGCTCTTAGGGTATTATGCAATTATGATACATGATAGTGAAAGTTAATTAGCTATAGCTAGCCTCATTCCCTTCATTCTAATCAATTAAAATGAAAAGTATATCAAGTGACTGTAAGAGATTCTACGATTAAATCTAATATAGCACAAGGTCGAATAAAATCAATATAACTAATTACGAACCTGAATTTAATCGAATAAATCCTAATTTGATTTGCAGCTGCTATGCTGCGGTAACAGGGGCTACACAGATTGGTTAAAAATGGTCCCAATGAAAGACATTCCACTATCTTGTTGCAAAGTTCCAAAGAAAGAATGCAACACTTCTGAAACAAATGATATTTACACTCAGGTAATTAGAAACTGTTATTTTTCTGTGGATCTGTATATTCACCAGTTTATCCACGGTTTATCTCATATTTGCCCCGATTTTCCTTATTTTTTTCCCGGACGTCTTTCGTGCTAATCAGATTTATACTTGCAGGGATGCTACACTCTTGTTCTGGATTTCATAAACAGCAACATCGGTTTGGTCGCTGGAATTGCAATCGGCGTAGCATTTTACCCTCTGGTTGGTGTTTTCCTGGCGTGTTGTTTAGCCAGTAACATCAACAAAGTCAAGTACGAGCAGGTTGCTTAGAGTCTGCGTCGCTCACGGACCAACTCGCCGTACCAGTAAAGAAACAATCCTCTACAGTCTATTACTAATTTTTACGAATTTCACTGTCTTGGAAGGTCTCTTCGACCTTTCTACTTGCGCTTAGAATAACGTTAAGCTACTACGAATTGATTTGATCTCAGATCGGTAATTACTTCCTCCTCCAATCTTCCAGGTAGTTTATCGACAATTTTTTAATTGTATTCGAAGTAGTCCTGTGGATACAGTCGCACATTATTGTTTTATTATTGCACATGTATCGTATAAAAATTTGTTAAGGGAATTATTTGAAACGGTAGATGACAGGAGCGTAATTGTATGAAGGGGGTGTGAAATGACAAATCAGTAGTATCGAGTAAGTTATCTGATAGAGAGTTCTTCGTTACGTTTATTTAACTGTAGCTTTTTTACTTTTTTTTTAAATCGAGAAGCATGTGATTGTCGAGTGCATGAACGTAGTGAAATATTTGAAACCAAATGTTTCTTCCCAGTGCAGAAATAAGTTTAATGCATTCGATGTTTATGTTTTTGGACATATTTTTATTTAATATTTAAGCAACATTTTTATGTACTTTCTTTTGATAAATACATTTATTTAAACTTCTTTAAATTTGCGTTCAAAGTTCTTTAGATTTGCCTAAAATTTTATTAGACTTCGTTAAAGTTTCTCGCACCTTATTGAATGCCCTGAAGATTTCCCCTTTCCTTAAATTTTCTCAAATAAAAATGGTACTGGCTCTCCCTGGTTCTTTTTGGGTTTTCCTGGGTTTCCTTGGGTTCTGTCGGTTTTACCAGTCCTTTGCCACTTTTAACTCTTCAACGTATACCCCAGAATTTTCCCTAAGCCTCTCTGGTCTTCCCTAGCACCTCCAGGATCTTCTTGGCTCTCCCTGGCTCTTCTCAGCACTCCTTGTGTTTCCTTGAGTTCTATCAAGTTTATTAGTCCTTTGCCACTTCTAATTCTCCAACGTATACCCCAGAATTTTCCGTAAGCCTCTCTGGTCTTCCCCAGCACTTCCAGGATCTCCCTGGCTCTCCCTAGCTCTTCTCAGCACGCCTTGTGTTTCCTTGAGTTCTATCAAGTTTATTGGTCCTTTGCCACTTCTAACTCTCCAACGTATACTCCCGAATTCATCCCAGACCTCTCTGGTCTTCCCTAGCATCTCCAGGATCTCCCTGGCTCTCCCTGACTCCTCTCAGCACTCCTTGTGTTTCCTTGAGCTCTATCAAGCTTATTGGTTAAAACTGACTAAAATATTTCCATAAATTATACCAAAACTTCTTTAAATTTTTTTAAACTTCCTCTACTTGCCTAAAATTTTGTCAAGTTCTGCACATTGCCTCAACTATTTCTTTCTTTGAATGGCTTTAAGATTTCGTTAAACTTTATCAAATTAAATATTATTTAACACTTGATACTTCCATATCAATAATAAAATTTTACAACTTGTGTAATTGTGTGAATATTTAAAATATGGTGTATGTTCGTACGACATTTTTCTTTACGAATGACATAAGTACTTAAAAACCTGTTGTAAGTTTCTTACACTCGTTCTCAATCGCTCTTTATACTCATACTTTAGCATGCATTTACATCGTGTAACATAACTTTTCCAATGTTACTGTAATTTACGTCTACGTAATTCTAGCACGTGAATTACCGTCAATTTCTTCAGCATATCTCTTCTTCAACAAACTTCACGTGTAGTATCTTTCGATATTGTATTTCGATGTTAAAAAAGATGTAACTAAATACACGATGTAATATTTTGATAATACTAATTATGATTTTTCTATCGTATAAAGAAAACACGTGTTCATTTTATTATAGCATTCTCTTGCTTTTGTGCAGAATGATATACGATTAAAAATTACAAAGCGAAAACGGGTATTATTCTAATAAATTGTGAAATAAAACAGGAAATAAGCGTTCTATCGAAATAAATTTTAATTAAAAATGTTTTGGGTTAAGCATTTATCATGAACATCTCAGGAAGAGGAAAAAAAGTATAACTTTCATGTTAGAAATTCCGAAACTGTGTTAAATTTGTTCTCCAACGAATTATAATCGAATACCACGAAAGCTATGTTCCTAGATACATACGTACTTATATTTTTTGAAAAATAGAAAACTGAATCTTATTAACTGTTTCATGCGTTCATAGGTTTATTTTTATAGTAATCATGTCCGTTGTTTGGTATACAACTCGTACAAACATTACATTTCCGTAAGAAGTTAATCGTGAATCAGAAAAAAAACAAATGTCAATTGTACTTTTTTGAATTGCACCTATTTAACAATGCTTCTATTCGTTTTAAGGAATGTTGACAAAATATTACTTGCACTAATGTGTACATGTTGTAAAGTTATAGGGAATTTAAAAAACTTCAATGTAACATTTTTGCATGATCGCCTTATCAATTAATCATGTTAAAGTGTATTATACAAGGACCCTTTATTAGGGCACTATTCGTAAAATATCTTACAAAGTATATATATTTATTATATTCGTAAGAGATGTACGCATATATAAAGTGGTTCACACAAAGTGTTACAAGCTATTTATTCAAAAATTAGTAATGAAATTCTTTTAACTTATTTGTCACATCGTATGAAGGTGACTTCGAAGATTCTTTAAATGAAATGGTACTCACTGGCTCTCCCTGGTTCTTCTTGGGTTTTCCTGGGTTTCCTTGGGTTCTGTCGGTTTTACCGGTCCTTTGCCACTTCTAGCTTTCCAATAAGTACTCCTGGATTTTCCCCAGGCCTCTCTGGTCTTCCGTAGCACCTCCAGGATCTCCCTGGCTCTCCCTGGCTCTTCTCAGCACTCCTTGTGTTTCCTTGAGTTCTATGGAGTTTATTGGTCTTTTGCCACTTCAAACTCTCCAACGTATACTCCTGAATTTAACCTAGGCCTCTCTGGTCTTCCCTAGCACCTCCAGGATCTCCCTGGCTCTCCCTGGCTCTTCTCAGCACTCCTTGTGTTTCCTTGAGTTCTCTCGAGTTTATTGGTCTTTTGCCACTTCTAACTCTCCTACGTATACCCCGGAATTTACCCCAGGTCTCTCTGGTTCTCCCCAACATCCTCAGGCTCTCCCAGGCTCTCCCTAGCATCTCCTAACTCTCCTTAGCTTTCCCTGAGTTTCAAAGCAGCAGCGAAAACATAGACTGATTTATATGAATGAATCTGCAAAAAACAATAAAAATATTCTTCTTAAATATACTTTACTGATTTTAGAGAAAATATCTTGTAACGCTTTATTATAACACACGTACGTTTCGTATTACATTATAGATAATGTAATCGTGAATTTATTCTGATCTGCCTTCTTTGAGGCCGACTTCTCAAACATTTAACGCTGTGACATTCAAATTATGTACATTATTATTAATGGTATTTAAAAGTTTATTATGATTGCGTGAATGTGTATAATTCATATATCAATATTTTACACATGTTTCAAATATTTAAATAAAGATAAATAACACAAATGATTGTTTCATAAGTTTTATATTCTCCAATGTAATGTTTCATTATATTAAGATCCTTTTTACATAAATTAATTCAGTTATACGTTTATCATATTATAACGCAAAAACATGTCCGTGAGTTATGCTGAGACGTTGTACGCACGCTCGAAAACAAGCCAGAAAAATATTATATGCTACTCTTACAATGATAGTACAGTAAAACCCTTATTGAGGGACACATTTTAAGGGATACATAAAAAGTAATTACGTCATCATTGTGGATACATCGATTACTTTTTCTTTGCTTACTTTCCTTGCAAAAATTTACTGCGCAAGTCTATCTTTACGGTTTAGGACTGCGCAGGGGGTCAAGGTTAACTGATTACTTCCCCGTGCATAACACGGACCGTAACAATACTTACTAATTAAATGATTCAACAATATCTTTATTAAGTTATGCACTGTATGAAAAGTGGTGAAAATAACGAAAAATTTATCAACAATCATTGTGTATTTATTGTTATCTAACAAACCCAACAGAATAAAAATTTACATATTCAAAAGAGAGACTTTGTATCAAGTAAACATGAGAATTTTTGGAATTTGATGTCATCAAAATTCACGAAAGATACGTCCTCACAGCTTATGTTCTCCTGATACCAATTTGCAAAATCGGTCGATGAAATTCAAAAATTGCGCCTCGAGAATTGTTGAAATGACGTTATGAGAATTCCATGAAGCACACTGAATACGTCCTTATAATGCATGTTCTCCTCGTAAAATTCTCAATATTTTGTGTTTTATTTCTTATTTTTTAAAATTTGGTGCCATTTGTGGGGATCGGAATGACGGGATTTATAAGTAAGTGAATACGCAAATACATGTTTTTGTTCATATTTATTTTCAAACACTTTTGTACATCAAATGACTTAATAATGTATCTATCAATTAATAAAATACATTAACACTTAATTCTAGGACCGAAGCTCTTACACTTGACTTTGCAACTTCTTTGTCCGCGTTTTTCTTTTGCACCATTCAACCAATTCTCGTCAAATTTTGCATGCACATGCGTATGTACATCCAGATGGACATAGAAAAAAAAATTTTAATCGGATTTGCCACGAACGAATAATCACCGAAAAAACTGATCCTAAAATGTGAGGGTCCGAACATGCATATAAGGAAAATAAAAAAATGAATATTTCGGCACTTTGACGACGTAGTATGGTTC